CCTCCACCACCACCACCACCACCACCACCAAAACAGGGGGATTTGGGAATGGGGATGCACAAAACGCTGTGACAGCGAGACACCTCCAAAGCCAGGGAAAAGCGCCCTGGGGACGAGGTTGCTAATAAAGATATCCTCATTTTGCATCTTCGATGAGGGACACATAAGTTTACGTTTGCGAAGGGGAAATGAGAAGAGAAAAAAAAAACCAAAACGGGTAGGAACGAATGCAAAGAAAAATCGAGCAAACCGTGGCCACAACTTAAAACCAAAACTATCTTCATTTTCAGTATAGTAAGGTTTTAATGGGTTTATAACACTGTTGAGGTTCAATTTCAAAATGCGACCGAGTTTCACTTTGGGAACACAGCTGTACTTTGTGTCGTCACACAACGCTCCTCTCACAAACAGGCGAGCTGTTAAACGCTAACATTTCGAAGCGCCGCGAACATTATAAGACGCTCTTGACAAAATGAGATCCACTTCATTTTGACACCCGTTTATAAATATAACCAAATATTAGGAAGTGCGGGCGACAACGATCGGAAATCCAAACGCTTTTGCCCATCGCTATGCTTTGCGTAAGTTTCACGTGACCGTTTTTTTTTTCTTTTTTTGACCGATAGACAAACCACGCGCGATCAGATTACTAGGGATAGAAGGTCAAAACGCACGTGATCAAATTGCGTTCTTTGTATCCCATTCATTCTTGGTGGAAGTCCAAACAAATGCTGGCTGCTTACATGCGACGCATGCGTAATAACAACCTGGAGATTAGGATTGCGGGCTCCTCTTGTCGCCCGCAATAATAAGGCAAGCGCTGACTTCTTCGCGTCCATGCTTCTCTTGCACTGAAGTAGCGGTATCAGTGACTTCGACGGACTTGCTCCTATCCGACCTATCCGTGGTTTGAAAACCGCAAATTATTTTCGGCCGCAAACAATTTCTTGAAAAGAGAAAACTTTTTCTCCTAAGCATCCATGGCGAACAAATAGGATCAAGTGGGACATGCGCATTTCTTTTAATGAGGAACGAATTTAATTTCTTCTGACTCTGCTTTTGTTGCGCGCTGTTTGTAGAGTTTGTATTAAATGTCGGACAAGTCTAGATAGTACAATTTAATGTAGCTTTTACCTATACGCAAAATTCAATCCTTAGTTGTTAGCAGGGATGCATTTAACAACAGCAGAAATTCAAGTGAGTTTGGATCTCAAAGATTTGGATTGAACAGCAAGAAATGTTTACTGGGAAATTGAAATACAATAGCAGAGCCACAGTATCCTGCCTAAAATTTTCCAAACATAGCAACCCCTACTTTAACCCATATATTTGTCTTTCGTACGTCATGCAATTATGTCAATGTACCAATTTTAAAAGTGAGACAATATATTTGCCAACCATCTTAGCTAAACACTTTTTAAAAGGAACGACAGGGCGGCTGCTCATAAACGAAAATAAATTTGCTAGTGTTTTGGTTTTCCGTGCACTTGTTTTTCTGGTGGTAAACAAAACACTCATCCAGTTCTTGTCCGAAATCTAGTACTTTGGGACGAGGAAATAAGACCCTGTACCTCTGACAGAAGTAACGGTACCCATATGGACAACCCCTAAAATGGGCTACGCCGCTGACGTTTAGTGATTTCCCTCTCTAGTCTCCAATCGTTTTTTTTCCTCGTAAATTTTTCACCCGCGCTCTTCTATCTAAACGCTTTTTTTATGAAAGTCACCTCAATTCTGTCACTGTACTTCCCGTCTTCGGCGACTAATTTTTGATAGGCCGTGGCAGAAAATCGAAAATCTTAAATAACTCCCAAACTTGATCGCATTTTGATTTTAAACCTCAGTAGCGTTATACTCATTAAAACTTTACTTATAAAATGAAAATGAGGGTAGGCTTGGTTTTGACTGTGGCCACGATTTGCTCGATCTTTCTCTGCATTCGCATCAGCTTTTTTCTCTGCTCAACGTTTAGAAAGCGTAACCAATCGAAAGATCGGTAATGGAAGTACAATCGTTCAATTGACTTCTATTGGGTTCGGTAATCGAACTTAATCAAACTCACCCCAAAATTTTGCCAATCGAACACTTTAACACTGTAACAATCGAACATAAAACCAGTTTCATCCGGTTTCAAACAAGGTATTGCGTTCAAATAAGTTGTATGTATTGGCTTCAATTTCAAACACGAGTACGCAAAGATACCACAGCTAGAGAATGGAAAATGTGAAATTAACAATTGTGGGTGCGATAGTTAAAGGATATTACGAGTGCTCTTTCGCCGTCGGTGTTGGTGAAAAAGGTATTGGACAGGTCCTTTTTTAATTATCGAAACTTTATCTTTCAATTTTCAATCTTTCTTTATTTCACAGTATATAAGGAAATTTACAGAAGTGTACGTAAGTAGGAGAACAAAGTAGCTGATAAATAATCATTAAGCTGAAAGACATTAAGTTTATTTGATTACAGTGGTGGTGGTATCCTAAGAATACCCCGGTCGGTATTGTCCCGGGAAAGACATTTTACATGGTTTTACTTTGCCGTGTTCCCCAGTATTAACTGTGAATTTATGTGAATTTGGATCACCTAAACAATAAGGGAAGAGAGGGTGCTTCAAATACATACTAGAGAGATCTTTCCGATTCGTTTTGCCTTTCTGTCGAACAAAATCAAACTAATCGCGTCGATTGAGTTCGGTAATCGAACTCACTCAAAGGTCCAATTCGATTATTATCGATTACCGAACCAACCGAACAACAATCCGACCGACTGGGTTCGATTGAGTTCGATTGATTTTTGGTTCGGTTTCGTTCGATTAACTACCCCTGGTTAAAAAGTGTTCTACTTTCCCCTTCGCAAACGTAAACGTTTTTGTCATCTCATCAAAGATGCATGATGAGGATATCTTTTTAGGACGAAACGATTTAGGTAAGATTTTCATCTCGCTCGATAGTTTGGAGAAATCGGGTTTCACCGAAAAAATCGTTACGCTGTTTCTCATTACGCCGTTAGGCCGTTACGGGGTTTACTAACAACTTACATGGGTAAAAGATTGATCCCGGGCTTGAGACGGTACGATTGGATATTGCGAGCTTTGTTGTTCGCAGTAACAAGTCTTTGGCCTCACAAAGTGAATTCTAGGGGTGAAATCTATTCGGCGAGATGGAAATTGATGCTGATTTCTGACCAGGCCAAAGACTTTTTGGAGGGCGGGAGCTGCATGTCTTCTTTTCAACCGCTGGTTTACATCCGGGATCTTGAATGAATCGACTGCGTGAGTGGAGAAAAGTTTCCATGCGACGATTTATGTGGAGAAAGCGAGAGTTTTTCGGAATAATTTGACGATTTTTCGCTCGTTTCAAATGTGGATATATTAGGGGAAATAAGAGTGTTGAGATTCCCGCCAGCGTCATTTTTTGTGTTTTTTACCGAAGGCGTTGACAGACAAAACTCAGGTATGTTGTTGAGCTCGTGTTACCAGAATACTTTGTGTCGAGCATAAAACGCTTCGTGAGTGTTTAGTTTAGGTGATTTTGTCTCAGAAAGGCTATTCTGTGCTCAAAGATTGTGGATTCTTAATCTGTTCTTGGCGGAAACTTAGCTTTGGGCCTTATGGTTTGACTGACTAAAAGGTTATGATTTCTGGACGTTTTAAAATGTTGTTTATTCAGTCATCGCAAAATCCTGTTAGTTTTGCGAGAGCAATTTACCGTCTGTTGCCAGCAATAAAGTGGTCATTGTTAAGCCTCAGATAGTGACTTTAACTGTCTTCCATTCGAATTCGATGTCAAACTTTTAAATTGCACTTGAAATTTCTTTAGCCACGCTTTAGCAAATCCAGACAGACGCGTCAAACCTTGTTTGTCAATCTCGACCCCAGAGCTCTTCTTTGCGTTTGACGGCCAGGTAACAATCCAACAATCAGCGTAAGCACTTGGGTCGAGATTGCTTGTTTGTGGGGTGGGAAATTGATTGCGCATGTGTGGTTTAAAGAAAGCCTCACATATGCAAATGTGTCGAAAGACGTTTGCCCATGATTGTAGCTTGATGACTAGTGTTGAGCTACCATACCAAGAGTGTAGAAAAAATCATCATATTGAGCAGGTGCACTCCTCTTCCAAGATCAAAATGTGCCATAGATTTGAGAGTAAGGGTTCCTATTCCAGGAAACTGAAAATTGGCGTGGGTGTTTCAATAGCGAGAAGCCTTAAACTTCACCAGAAAATGTTTAAGGTTTAAGGAACTTTTTGTTTGTTTTGTGTTCATGAAAACAAAATTGACTTCGACTTGATGATTCTTTTTCTATCTTATTGTCCATTTAAGGTCTAAGAGAGGACTGTTCTTGAGCGACTGGTCAGATTGTTGCAGGAAGACCTAGCAGAAGCTGCAACAGTTCACTAAGAAAAGGGCCCAGCAGTGATACTGTTGGGATCAGTGGTAAGTGTGATAAAGAACAAATATTATATTTAGAATTCGTTGGCACTCCTGCGTAATTCACGTTGAGACGTTCAGTGTAGTCGCATTTCATATTAAGCCTTTGTTAAAATCCGTCAGGAAAAATGAAAAAGTCATTTGGTGACAGATCCTTCAGTGTGGCTGCGCCCACTTTATGGAACGCTCTTCCTGTTAGCCTCCGCAGCATCAAATGTATTTGTACTTTTAAATCTAATCTTAAAACTTATCTTTTTAAATTAGCTTTTAATATCTTTTAGATATTAAATATATTTGTATATTTCTAATATTTGTATTAATAGTTTTTAGGTTCTTTATTGTTGTAATGCGCTTTTGATCACCTAACAAGTTAAAAAGCGCACTATAAATGAATAAATTATTATTATTATTAATACTGTTAAATAGTCATTTGTTATTTGATGATATTACAAACTGAGAGCAAATTCCAACTTAAGGCACTACTGGAAAATAAGGCTTTTAATGTTAGTAAAACTTTGACCCTTTTTATTATAGGGATGATGATCTAAAATTTCTCTTGCAGGTCTACTCTGATGGCTTCTGCTCCAACATTAGCTCCATCGTCGAAGGGGACGACTAATTATGCAAGATTATGTCGCCTTTTAGTAGATGGAGGTACCAAGGCGTTGAGGTACACCTTTGACAATTTCCACTCCCCAGCAAACCTGTTTAATGTTTTGAAAGCTGGTTCTGCAGATCATTTAACTCTGCAGTCCATTTATAGAAGAAGAATCATCAATGCTACACAGTGGGGTAAACTGTATCCCTCTCCTCCTTCGTCAGTAACATCAATTGACTTTGACATCACGTTACTGATGGTGCTACTGAGGAACATCTGTGGTCTGACTGCTCCTGTCACAGGCTGGGACAGTCTGCCACCTGCTTCAGACACCAGTGTTGAGGCTAACATAGCCAGAGTGAAGTACTATAGGAACTCGGTCTATGGACATGCCAGCCAGGCGTCCGTGGACGATCCAACATTTAATTCCTTGTGGCAGGATGTAAGTGCCGCACTGGTTTTACTGGGTGTAGATGCAGCTGCTATCACAAAACTAAAAACTGAGACTATTGATCCAGACACGGAGACGCATTACCGAGAGCTGTTAAAGGAGTGGAAGAAAGACGAAGATAACATTAAGGACCAACTTGATAGAATAGAAGGTATTATAAGTAGTGTCTTGGGTAAATAAGTGTCCTCTTTCTGAGCTTCAATATACTATTACAACTTCTAAAACGAATGTTTTAAGTTTTATTAAGGATAATTAGAACGTTTATTTTTATATTTGTACTTTTGCAGCAGTACTTTTATTCGCAGCATGTCCCTTGTGGGTCACAGTAGCTACTCTCTCCAGATGAAAAAAGATGCAGCCTTTCAAACCTAGCAAGCACGCGGGAAAATGCCCTAACATTTTAGTAGGAAGAATTTCATAACCGCTAATATAATATTTGCTTCTCACAAATTCAAGAGGCCTGCTAAAAGTGGAGTGAATCCGTAATAAATACTAAACAATAAGAATGGGCTATGGGCGGGGTAAAAGCTTCGAATTGGACAAAAGAAATTTGTCGCCTACGAAGGAAACATTCTCTAACTATAAACTGTCATCGGAAGGACTATAAGCAATTCCATTTAACGTCTGAATACTGAGAAGACGGCCATTAACAAGCGCGAATTATTTCAACTGATACGATTTTAACTTGTCCTCAATAAAAGTTCTTGATGAAAGCCTAAATTTGCTTAGTTTATTCTTCTCCCTTGCAGATAGAACAAGAGAAGACCTAAGAGAGATAAAAAACAAGATAGAAAATATCAGTGAAAACTTAAAGGCTTTAAAGGAATCTCCGACCCGCGAGGAAGGTCAGTTTCCCCTAACTGTAGCCCGCTGTTTAAGGCCAATATTCTTGATCGATCAGTGACCATTTGTCTGTATCGCTCTTGACTTCCACAATAACAATTCTGATCCAGACAGGAATTCCTCAAGAAGATCCCATAGTGCTGCAATTTATTCATTTGCGTTCAATAAAAATTGTGATTCTCTCAGCGAGTGACATAACAGATGGCATACCTTGAACTAGAAGGAAACGTCGTAGGCTGTTTATAGATCCCTGCTAGAATGCATGGCGGCTATCTTGGTTTCGAATGTACCGAGGGGTAGTTCAAGTTTGTTTTAATTTGTAGCAGGTGTTTTTGTTTTGCAGCAGTATTTTTATTCGCTGCATGTCCCTTCTGGGTCACGGTAGTTACTTTCCCCAGATGAAAAAAGATGCAGCCTTTCAAACCCAGCAAGCAGGAGAGAAAATTTAGTAGGAAGAAGTTCCTAACCACCAATAAATATAATTGCCCTGCTTCTCACAAAGTCAAGAGGCCTGCTAAAAGACTGCCTTTAAATAAAAAAAGTGGGCTTTTGTTATGTTTCTTGTCCTTACTGAAAGGACCCCTCACAGCAGCTGTAGTATGGGATATTTTACGCTTTCTTTAAACGGTGCACATAGCCAGGAGGGATACTAATTAATAAAAGGTCCCTTTTTTTTGCAAATCGCCTTCTCCTAGCATGGTTCTACAGGTCGTTCTATTCATTTGTCTTACGGACTTTGATAGCAGCAAACCAAACTGTTTAAAACAAATATCTAAAACAAAGTTTGGTTCTTGTTTATTCTCGACAGTTGGTTTGGTTACCAAGCATATTGAAATCATTCGCCAGAAGTACAAACGTCATGAGGGGTGGCTTGCGCCCTTTCCTTGGTGCGAAGACTTTCAGTTCCAACTAAGCGATATTTATACACGGCTTCGTATGGTTAGCAGGGAGAAAAAAGCGAGAGCGACAGCGCAGCAAAGAGTTGTTGAAACGACTGAAATCTTCAATCCCCAAGAAGAATGCAAACAACCTAGAAAAGTATTGATTGAAGGAATGCCAGGTATGGGAAAGACGACATACTGCAATAAGGTTGCTTACGACTGGGCAATCAACATCAAAAACGAAGGAGATTGCTTTCCGGAATTCGATTTGGTGCTTTTGCTGAAATGCCGTGATGTTGAGATCGAATCCGACCTTTGGGGAGCCATTGACGATCAGCTTTTGCCAGGGGAAATTCAACGAAAGGAAAAAGAGGAATTCTTTGAGTTCATTCGGCAAAATCAATCAAAGGTTTTACTGATACTTGACGGATTAGACGAGTTACCTTCGAGCAAACTGCCGGAATTTACCGACATCATAGAAGGTAAATTGCTTCCTCAATGTCACCTTGTGGTTACAGCGCGACACGAGGCAGGGATACCTATGAGAAAGGTTTGTGACACTCTGCTAGAGATTGAAGGTTTCACTTATCAAGATAGCAAAGAATTTATTCTCAGATATTTTGCCGGCAAGGAAGATTTGGCCGAAAAGCTATTGGATAAAATAAAGAATGAGAAAAGGCTTAAAGAGATGACAGTGAATCCATTAAACACTGCACTGCTTTGCCTTCTTTGTGAAGACTTTCAAGGTATTTTACCTGAAAGTAGAACTCAGTTGTATGTGGAAGTAGTACAATGTGTTCTTATCAGATACAGGAAAAAGAAAGGTCTTCCAGTCGAAAGTGATCAGGATTTGATTGAAATCTACAAAGATCAGTTGAAACGTTTTGGCTTGATAGCCTTAAACGGCCTGAATGAAGACAACATGTACTTTGAGGACAAAAAGCTTTCAAAGAAAGATGTCGACCTTCCTGGATTTGGGTTTCTGTCAGCTCAACCTGGAAGCAGCAAACGAAGACCGTGTATGTGCTACGGCTTTACGCATAAGAGTTTCCAAGAATTCTTCGCGGGACATTATCTTTGTTGCCTGCTTGTTAGCAAAGAAACCAGTCCTGAAATATTGGTCACTGACACAAGATATTTCCGAGAGCTAAGAGAGGTATTGAAATTTACCTGTGGTCTGCTTGCGGTGAGGTCTAAAGAAAGCGTAGTAGCCCTTATTAACTGCATAGCGAATGAGGTAAACAAAGCCGACGTGAAAGAAGAATGTTTACCTGTTGCACTTGAGTGCATCAAAGAATGCAAAATTGAAAACAGTTATTTTCATATAGACTTGGCACATACATTTGGCGCATGTCTGGAAGTCCAACAAGCTCGGGCGCGGAACCGTGGAGTTACAGATGACGCTGCTGCTGCTGTGCTTGCTGCTGTGCTTGAAGCAAACACAACTCTGACAAATTTGGATTTGGCTGACAATAGCATTGGTCCTGCCGGTGCTGAGTCACTTGCTACAGCACTTAAAACAAACACAACTCTGACAAATTTGTATCTGTCTGCGAATAACATTGGTCCTACTGGTGCTGAGTCACTTGCTAAAGCGCTGAAAACAACAACAACTCTGACAAATTTGTATCTGTCTAGCAATAACATTGGTCCTGATGGCGCTGAGTCACTTGCTACAGCGCTTAAAACAAACACAACTCTCACAAATTTGGATCTCCGCGGCAATAACATTGATCCTGCTGGCGCTGAGTCACTTGCTACAGCATTTAAAACAAACACTACTCTGACAAATTTGGATCTGTCTTATGACAATAACATTGGTCCTGCCGGTGCTGAGTCACTTGCTACAGCGCTTAAAACAAACACAACTCTGACAAATTTGGATCTGTCTAGCAATAACGTTGGTCCTGATGGCGCTGAGTCACTTGCTAAAGCGCTTAAAACAAACACAACTCTGACAAATTTGCATCTGTCTGGCAGTAACGTTGGTCCTGCCGGTGCTGAGTCACTTGCTACAGCACTTAAAACAAACCCAACACTGACAAATTTGGATCTCCGGGGAAATAACATTGGTCCTGCCGGTGCTCAGTCACTTGCTATAGCGCTTAAAACAAACACAGCTCTGACAAATTTGGATCTTCGGGGCAATAACATTGGTCGTGCCGGTGCTCAGTCACTTGCTACAGCGCTTAAAACAAACACAACTGTGACAAATTTGGATCTCCGGGGCAATAACATTGGTCCTGCCGGTGCTGAGTCACTTGCTACAGCGCTTAAAACAAACACAACTCTGACAAATTTGTATCTGTCTGGCAATAATGTTGGTCCTGCCGGTGCTGAGTCACTTTCTACAGCGCTTAAAACAAACACAGCTCTGACAAATTTGGATCTCCGGGGCAATAACATTGGTCCTGCCGGTGCTGAGTCACTTGCTACAGTGCTTAAAACAAACACAACTCTGACAAAATTGCATCTGTCTGTTAATAACATTGGTCCTGCCGGTGCTGAGTCACTTGCTACAGCGCTTAAAACAAACATAACTCTGAAGCAATTAATTTTGGGGCATGGTAATAACATCAGTGCATCTGTTTATAAGAAAATAAACGACGAACTCGGTAAACGTATCCGATTTTAAAAGTTTTTAATATCGTTCAGTTTTCTCTGTCTCTTTAATTCTTTGTCTTTCGCTGGAAATTAGAAAATTCAAAACATACTAGTCACTCACAGGGTCTCATTTTCTTTCTTTTTTCATTTTGTACTGTTTTTAAAACTCACCACGTTTTTTCAACGTAAATGCATGTTTTCATTTAAAAAAAAAATCACGCATCCGATCAATCTGGTTTCTTAGTTAGACCCTGGCAAGAAGCTAGTTCATGCAATGATGAAAAAAAATCGGCTAACGGAGAAAACCAGGCTAACAAAGGAATGTAATCGAAATATATGTACATAGAGGGCTGTCCGTCAGACCCCTTTGTTTTACATTTTTTTAAGCCGAAGAATTTTGCGAAAAGTGCCAAATGAAAACTTTCTCTTTTAACAGCTCGATCCCTTGCTTTGTGATACAGTTTTTCATTAATCATATAATGAGTAACGTTGAACACTGAGTCCTTTAATTTTGTACGTCCACATGACTATCAGGCATGACTATCTAATTAAATATGCACATTTTGATTAAAATGCTTTTTACAACGGTTTGCTTTTATCAATGATCCTGAAAATTGAACTACAAATGTAGCTTAATGGCCTTTACAATATCTAGTGACACATTTTAGAAGCTCAAATTTTTGTCACGTGACTGATAATTGAGAATTAACGGTCTAAGTATTTGCTCTAAAATGGGAAAGGGTAATGAAAAACCAACAAGTTGTTTTAGGTACATTTTAGAGGCTATTAAAAAAGTCCTAAAAAATTCGCCTTGTTTCTGTGTTTAGGTTATATGGGAGTCGGTGAATAAAGGGAAAAGGGTCACGTGACTTATTAATTAGTTAAAAAGCTAATAGGATAAATAACATTTCCAATTATACAAGGTAGATTTACGATTTACACTGTTTATGTAACATTTCGGTATTGAAAGTTCCGAAGTTTAAGGTTTGCAATCCTTCCCCGTTTAGGAAAACCTGTTTTGTGACGTCATTCACGAAGCAATGTTACGTGTTATTTGAAATCACGTTTCACGTGTTTTTTTTTTCATTGGGTCACGTTTGTAGCTCACTTTTCAGGATCACTGATGGCAGCTAACCATTCTAAGGGCCTCTTTAGATGGCGGTGGGGCACCCCAGATAGGTAACCCACGTAGGTGGGGTAACCCGCCCATCCATATAATCACTCATTTCAGTTTGATCACATTCACATGATAGGTTGGGTGACCCGCCACGAGTTACGTCGCCTACCTGGGGTCCCCCACCTCCATGTAAACAGGCCCTAAACAGCATTTAACAAAATATGCATATTCAATTAGGTAGTCATTTAAGTGGCCTGAGGTGTTGAGTTCAAGTTTTTAGAACTTGTTGATTAGCGTGAATAGACTGTGTTATGTGGAGAATCTGCATGGGGATGATTGGATATTATAGTTATTAGTTAAGCTTTCAGTTATATAATGAGCCATCTGTTAATTTTTTACCTCAGAACTCGGCTATATAAAGATTAATAAAGAATAGATTCATCAGTTTCTCAGCTGACAATTAAAATGTTGGCCAATTTTCAACTCTTAGTTAAATCCCATCCAGATCATCTATGTAACTAGTAACTAACTACATTGTATAAAAGACTGAAACAAGCTTTGCTTACACTTGTACTTTTAAAATGTCCATTGTTTCGGTTCAGTTAAGGTTTGTTAACATGCAGTGCGAATTGTACATTCTGAGACTACTATTGAAACTTGTGACAAGTTCCTGTCAATTAAGATCTCCCCGTAACAAGCATATATTAGTCATTGCAGCTGATGGAGACTTGGGTAAATAAAAGTATCGTGAAGTATTAGTAAGAAAAACGTGTGCTCGTTTCGTTATTAACGCCACGAAAAAAGAAAAAAGTACTTGTGTTGTACCTGTGACGGGTGTTGTCCCTCTGACGAATGTTAAAAAAAGAACAAAGAACAACAACGCTCTCCGGCTTGGGTTCAAGCCCATACGCAGTGGAATATTCGCAAACGGTCGCCATCTCCCGTGAGCCAACAATTTCTTGCGTGGATTAGCCTTCCGTTGAAGTGTATCCAATAAAAACGCTCACCGAACCCCTAACTAACAGATGAAAATAGAAATTTTTGAAAACGATGAAGTAACAGCATCGGATCTCACGCGAGATAAGAATGTTTCATTTTCTTAAGATTTGTGGCATATCTTATATTATGGTAGTTTTTTTAATGCCCAAGCTTACTTTTTTTTCAAGTTTCCACCGGACTCGAAATCGAATTGTTGAACGACTCAAGAGAGGTCCACAGGCAAGACCTACAGGAGGATTTTATGGCTATGAAAAATTCGAGAAAATGGCTCTTGTAGTGTGATTTATTAATACTTAATAAAGACATTGTATTTATAGCAGTTAAAAGGGATGCAATTTTCTATACTAGGTATGTGAAAGTGGTACCATTTGTCCCTGGAAGGTATACGAAAGGGGTACCATTTCTCTCAAAAATGGTATAGAAAAGGGTCAGGGGTTGGACCTCGGGGTGATCAGATCGATCTACATCGGTCATATTTTAATTTACTGCACACGTTCGCGACTTCAATTAGTTTCCTCCAAGAAATCAAGTTTTTTCCTAGTCTCCAGGGCTGGGCTTAAAGCTTAAGCTCCTCGGTCGGATTTTTGTTTGAATCTGCCAACCTGATCATGGAGCATGTACCGGTTTCCGAAGAAAAGTTGAAAGAGGTGGGGGGCGGGGGGGGGGGGGTTGTAGTTTTTTTCTCCACCGTAAAACATGTGGCACCGTCCCCGTTCAATGAAGAAATAGGAAGATTTAAGCAGAGAAAGCAGAATGGAAAATGATCAAATCAGAACAGGGAAGCGCGCTAGGAGGTATTTATCGGTTTTGTTGCTAGGCAACCGCGGACACCATTGGCTCCTGTCCGATAAATAGAAATATCAGGACCATTATGGGCTCATGGAAATATATATGAGGAAACTGAGATCGATCACATCACAATAACCGATCCATGAGGGAGCAACGTGGCAAGTTCTCGACAAATTGAACCAGCCCGGATCATATGATGTCATGTAATTTGCCTCTTGCCAAAAAACGTTTCTTTTGGATGAATAATGATGAGCACGTGGGGGAGGACAAGCCTACAAAATGGTTGCAGAGAGGACGGAATATGTTGTCTATGAAAACCAGATTTTCGCTCATACAAGAACCGCTCGACGAAAAGACGTACTTGGATTCGAAACAATTTTTCTCACAAAGGGGGTATGCATGTAATAAAACCAGGCTAGTTTGTTAGATTTCTTTCGTTTCTTTTTTGCTACACGCCAAAGGGACTCCCGTCTAGCAACACTTTTGTAGAAGAGAAGGTAATTTGGCCACGGTTAAGACCTTTTGTTGATTCATTCGTTTTTCAGACCTGATCCCTAGTACCAAATTTTTCATAGGTAACGTTTTAAAATTCCCGTTTTTCATTTTTCTAGGTCAACGTTATTGCAACAGGCCATTTACATGATGGCGTCATTTTAATACTATGCCCAGAATCCTTTTCGTGATTCCTTAGATTTATGCATATTTACTTTTGTTCATTCCAGTGAGGTTTAAAGGTACGGTAAAACGGGTAAAAAAACCCGTGCAACTTGTTTTGCAACATTTCTGCAAAACGAGTTGAATAGCGACGGTGTTGCGCGTTTTACCACCCACGAATTAAAACCTTTCAACATTATTTGTTGCATTGATTGGTAAAACGCCCAACATCGCTATTCAACTCGTTTTGCAGAGACGTGGCATATAAAGAAAGTCATGTAAAAGGAAGGTTAATCTCAAGAATCTCATTTTTTTATTTATTTTTTTTAAACTATTCTTTAATTTGTTAAAGAAGACCAAAATGTTTACAAAACCGCGAACAAAAGAGAATTGATACATACTAATCAAACCCTTCTTTCTAGCAGTCGGCTGGAGCTATTTCCATGATCTTTCACACACGTTTTAAAAAAGATTGAAACCACTATGAGGTGAAATTGCATGTCAAGAGCGTTTCGTTTTCTACAGTAAACGGCCAAACATCAAGACTGTCCATTTTTTACTGTTTCTAACCATAGAAACTTCATCCCAAAATATCTCGATAAAGCTCTTACAGATTTCGCTTAAACTTCACGAACATCGAGGCCGTTATTGGAGGAAAAAGCTCCCGTGCTTCCCGATTTTGGAAGAACAGTTTCCAGTGCCGAGATATACCGCTGCAAGTAAAATAGGTAATAGCGTCATTTCGTTGCTATGACAACTCCGATATCGTTGTAACCCTGATCATAACAAATTTTCATCTTTATCTAATACAACTGTGGTGGTAATTTTGACAAATCTTTGTTAGGGCGACGTTGTTTATGCAGAGACTTGCGAGGTATTGACCCTGAAAAACTGTATCGAGCCACCTTAATATAATTAATTTTTCTGTATGCTTATGTCAGTTGTCCCGGAACTGCTCTCTAGGCGGCGACATTGGTCTAGTTTGACGCAGTTAGATTGGAGGTAATTAATGTTACAGACCTCTAGCCAGGGTCGTTAGCCATTTGTTTAGCCTGCTAGATGTCCTGCCCTAGCCTTTTCTGGTAGCCTTACTGGCAATTGGCCTACGTGCCTTGTTGGGTACATTAGTGCAGATAATTTCCAGTTTTTCCCGACGCTCAGCCTCTGTGGTCCTACAGTGTTCCCTATTTCAGTTATCCGTTGATCAGAGTTTTATTTAGTTTCCCCAGCCTAACTGGCGGCCTAACTGGCTCTACGCCTGCGTGCTTAATTGGGGGATTCAGGTCGAGATCGACCAGTTGCAGCAGTTCCTTCTTTTTGTGAAAGCTAGTTTATGAGTGTTTTACATTCAGTTATTTACCTATTGCTGTATTTACATACGTACTTTGCAGTGTTGGTTTACGCCAAGCCTTCCAAAAATAGAC